TGGTCACCGGACAGCTCCCGTACCAACACATCAACAATAAGGATCAGATCCTGTTTATGGTGGGCCACGGGCTCATACACCCGGACCTCAGTATTAGCCGAAACGAGACGCCCAAAGGGTTCATACGATTAATAGAAGACTGTATTCTCTTTAATCGAGAGGAACGGCCGCTGTTTCGACAGGTATTCCACATTTGGTGTAGAGTTTTGAGTGACAAATATCTAATGTATTGATGTGTTTGTGTGAACAGATTTTGGCCACTTTAGAGCATTTGCTGCGATCTCTGCCCAAAATACACCGCTCGACGTCTGAGCCGACCCTAAATCGGACTCATTTACAATCGGACGACTTCTTGGGAACGGTGTGCGCGTCGCCTAAAACACCAATAAACTCTCAATTCGGTGCATTCCCTTTCGGTACTGACATGAACTCATGTTTAGTTATCACTAAAAATTTATATTACTCTACAATATGCTATAAATTCTGATGAAATCTCATTTAACTACAGTTGCTTTGAATTTAATTTTTTTTCTTTATTCCTTCATAGGCTTCACCACTGGAAACATTTGAGTCAATTATCTCTTAAGGATTACTCGCAAGGACTACATCCAAACCAAACGAATTCTCGACAAACGCTCCAAATTTCTGTCACTAATCATGAATTTTTCGGAAAATGTTTTATTTTTTGAAAATACACCGACAAATGGAGTAATGAATTATGATTTCGATTCCTATTAACAAAAATAATGATTACTGGAAAAGAAATTTTAAATATTTTATTGTAAATATATTTTTCGGCGAAAAGCGTTCAAAACAAGCACTTCTTTTTGGATAATTAATTATATTTTTATTTCGATTCCTATTAACAAAAATAATGATTACTGGAAAAGAAATTTTAAATATTTTATTGTAAATATATTTTTCGGCGAAAAGCGTTCAAAACAAGCACTTCTTTTTGGATAATTAATTATATTTTGAATACTGAATAGCATTCCAGGCGTTACTTAAGTCTTAAACAATTTTGTTGTCATTTTTGTTTCATTTGAAATACAAATGTTTCAGGAAATACTCGAAATAATCTCTAAATATCTTAAAATGGAAAACTAATTGACTCTCACTTTGAGCTTAATATATATATATATATTTACAATTCAATGAAATAATGAAAAAACAATTATTATTCTGTGATATAATTAGAAATTAGAAATTAGTTTTTAACACAAAATGAATGAATTTTTAATTTAATTCAATTTCTCTTATCTCTCGTGAAAAGAGTTTTTTAAATTAATTTCTATTTCATCGGAATTGTGTTAATTCTCCACTCGAGTGAGTCATGAATGCCATTATTTTTTAATCCCAAATATAGTTTCTGAAATTACAAATCCCAATATCCTATTGTTCATTATTAACATAATTATAAATTTTACAATTTATTAATTTTAATCAAATGAATGACTTAACTGTATGTCTATTCAGTATAAATTCTGTATTCTCTTTACTCATTGCAATGCAATTTCAACATTCATTAAAAATCATTAAAAAATTAATTCCATTGATATTTGTTTTTATTATTTATTAAAAAAAGTTTCAAATTAGATATAAAATAATATTGAAGAGATCGTCAGTTCATTGATGCGATTATTTGTTACAAAACACTCATTTATAGCCAACTGTGCCGACAAACAACTGATCCAAACCTTAGAAAAGTTTGGTTTAAAATGAATTATATGGATACTCTGAATAAAGCAATAGATCAACTAATTAGTAGGTATTAAGGTACTATTAGTGTCAATTTTAATATTGGTCACTCCCGGTGCTAAATACACGGATACGGTTCCGAAGCAAAATGCTTCGCAAAAGTGATTTCCGTTAGTATTAGTCATTTTGATGGTCGCGTAAACTGTCTTCTGATGCGTGACTCCGTGTCCATCACAGGCATCGGAATCCACTAAATTGAAGACAATCTTCTCAAACTTGGCTCCATTGCATATACCACCACTTATGACACCCTTTTGGTTCATAATTAGATGACCTGTCACAATTGCAAATAGATTCTATAGATTAATTCTCTGTATTCAGTATTCATATACAGACCGTTCACATGGGCTGATATTGAGTCAGCATTGGGTATCGACAGCTCATGCAGTTTGCCATCACTTGTGGTCAGATTTAAAGTAACATCCATTCGCTTGAATGTCCAGTCATTACAAGAGATTTTAGTCTTGAAATGTCGCAAATAATTAACTTCTTTAATGTTGGATCCGTTATTGCAATTGAATTGTTGCATTAGTATCTCATTTGTTTGCATTGGGGGAGTATATTCTGTAAGTTTTTAATACAATTAGTAAAAAGTAAGTTATAAAAGAGTATACCACTCATTTGATACCCATTGTGAAGTCTTTGTCGAAAGCTTTTCTCTCATTAATCTCATCAATACAATGGCAACCATTTATTGTCTCAACAATTATTAAATAAGAGGTGATGACAAAAAATAAGATAAAATTCATTTTTATGAGTTTGTCTGCACTTAAATTATCGACAAATGATTATATAATACGATGAATGAGTGAATGAATTGGTTTCAGACGTGTATTTGTATTTTAAATATGTTTTTTCTAAAAAAATTTTCATTTTGTTGTATTAAACAGTACTTTGTTTTTCTGTTGAACTAAATTTCGGGAAAGTTTCGCAATAATTTAGTTATTGACACCAATATTGAGAGCTTTGAAGTCATTTCAATGTCCAAACATTTGAATACTAAGTTATATGTTATTTACAAATAATTACTTGAAGAAATTGTATAAAAATTCAAATGAGCCAATTAATTAGCCATTTATTTAAGTAAAAACATTTATATTAATCATTGATGGGGTCAAAGAAAATCTCGATATATAACGCATATTTTTTTTATACATTCAGGTGTTGTTTTCAGGTTAGGTCTGCTACCACTTCCTCCTATTCGTATCAATTGATGATTAAAGATATATTTCCCCAACAATTAACTGTTTTTCATAGCATTTATACATTTTATCGATTGATATTTAACTATAAATTAAATCATTTACGCGAATATTTCATCAAAATATTGTAATCAAATGATTGAATCCACTGAAAAGTAATTGCACTAAAACTACGGCAAGTGTTAGACCAGAATAAACCAAACCATTGATGTTTTGACCTCTTCTTGCATAACAACATGTGTTAAAAATTAAAGTTACAGAGAAATACATTTAAATCATAATAATCATTAGGCACTAATTAAATCTATATTAATGTCATATTGTGTCCTATATTTTAAATTCACTGTTTTAATAGTATTTTAACTAAAATTCTTAAATGTTTACTTTTTTAAATGATACTTATGGGCCATTGTGGCTATATTTTTGTTTTATTAATTAAATTATTGTTAAGAAATAAGCAATTTAGTAATAATGATTTATAGAAATTTAAATAAATCCCAATTTATTTCAATAATATTTACATAATAATTATTTTATTCAATTTAATTATTGTTTTACCTATTGAATCAAATATAACTTTTATTATTAGTCTATATTTTGCATATGATTTTATGCAATGCTATAATTTAATCATAATCTTTCATCCAACAAATTACAAAACATGGTAACTTATTTCATCTTAATATTTATTATAAAAAATATCTAATCTTACATATATTTTAGCATTTCATGAAAAGTCTTCACATAATTACTATAATAATATTCAATGGACTCAATTGTGACGAAACTGTATTCGTCCGCAAAAGTGTCAGAGACCTCACGTAAATTGAAATTGATTTATTTCAGTGATGGATGAAGGTATCATGGTGATCTCAACTTTATTTTATAGATACACTGATTGGCAAGACTTCAAGCGAGGCATAAAAGTAATGAAACAAAAACACATTAGAAATCCTTTGGGTTTCTATTTCCAGGCAAACATTCACGGGTGGGATGAGTACGACGGCTCCGAAACAGCCAACTATATCGCCGACCATTTCAATTGGCATAAGTGTACTCACGAACAGTACTTCTTCCTGGTGTGGCACCGGATGTATCTATACTTCTTCGAGAGAATTCTACGCAAAGCATCGGGTAATCCCAACCTAACTGTCCCCTATTGGGACTACTCTGACCCCAGGGCACGGGAAATACCGCAACCCTTTCGGATTCCGGCCAATGATGTCACGAACCCGTTGTATACGAGTCACAGATGTAGGCATATAAATGAAGGCAAACCACTGAACGCCGAGATCACAGACCCCTACCCGTCCCTAAATAGTAGATTCTTTACCGCAAACAAAAGTAATGTATTGAATGTTTGCCACTCTATTGGCGGCGGAAGGCTTGAGACTCCGGTATTTCTGTCGGACAGGGAGGGACTGCTGGAAAGGTTGCCTCACGACCGCATTCACGTATACGTTGGCGGGCCGGGAGGTTTTATGGCTGATCTATGTAACGCGGCTAAGGATCCTGTGTTTTGGATACACCACTGTATGATCGATAGGATATGGGAGTCGTGGCTACAGAATGGCGGACAGAATATAAGGGAAGCCCAGTATCTGAACACTAGTTTCAAGTTTTACAATGAAAACGGAGATTTAGGCAATTATTATGTGAAAGATTTCCTGAATATGTCTCGACTCGGGTACAGATATGACTCGCTATTGAAGTTGGACCACAGGATTGTGATGGCAGACAATGAAAATCC